GATTGAGCCCCCACGGAGTGAGCAAACTCTTTGTATGATCTCTGTCAAACCCCTTGGGAACTTGCTAAGAACTGCAGCCACTGCTGTTGAACTAGAAGTTGATGCATTGGTTTCACCAGAACAAAGTCACATATACCACTGGCTGTATGTTTTTGTGGCTGTTTTTTACCTTTTAAGAAAACATACACATCCATAAAATAAGTTTTGTACCTCATCTACGGTAACTATACAGCCCGGCACCTGCCTGCACTCCTGGTTATCTGGAGAGGTTCCAGAGGGCTGGAGGCTTGCCGATGTGATGCCATCTACAAGAAGGGCCGCAAGGAGGATCCTTGCAGAGCCTCTCAGCCTGTAGTTGGTCCAGTACCAGTTGGTCCATTTGTCAGCCTGGTACCAAGGTCAAGCTGACAGGCCTGTAGCCCCCCTGGCAGCGTTCAAGTGGTGTCTGGATGAAGAGCTAAGAGATATGGTTTAGTAGCTTGTGGTAGCAGTGGTGATGGGAGGGCGGTTGGACATGATGATCTTGCAGGTCCTTTCCAACCTTGTGATTCTATGATTCACAAGGGCTTCTCCAGCTTTTGCTTTCAGCAAGGACCCAGTCTGGGCACACCTTGAATTCCCTATCGAAGTGTGTTAGATTTACACTGGCACAAACAATGAGGACAGAAGGCTGGCAAGCTCGATGAGCTGCTAATGTAGCACAGCTTAGGTTTCAGCTTTCTGCCTTTGTATCACTGGAGCCTTGCAGTGGAAGACTGGCTCGCATGTGGGGCAGACTGACTTTTCTCAGCTAAATGCTAACAGGCTGCCCAGAAGGCCTTCTGTCCCACCTAGTGTCTTCCTGTGGACAGCAGACTCAATGCAGAAGCAGCTTTCTCATTGGTGGCATGGGAGCACGGGTCAGAGCAGTGCCAGCAGAAGCAGCCATGAACAGCAGTGGACGTTCTGCCCAGTGACAAATTTAAGCTAATTACCTGTGAGAAGTGACCACATGAGATCCTCACAACCACCCTGCCGTGTAGATTTGCCCCCTGGGCCCTCTCCCTGGCCTCAACATGCCCATTTTCTCCAGCTGAGGGTCACCCAGGGGAGAAGTTCTCCTCTGGGTGACCCAGGAAGGCCCACAGCTGAACTAACCAGAAATCTTCACCGAAATCTTACACTCAGGCACCACCAAACAGCTCTGAAATCACTCAGCAGTGAACAGTCCTCTGTGTTAGCAACTGTGAATACGGAGACACATCAGAGCAACAGCAACGTGCGATGTGTGCTGTGGGACCAGCTCAGACCTGTAGCTGGGGAGGCAAGAGAAATGACAGAGATATTATTTATTATGGACGGAGCCAAAAAAAAAAACATCCTCCAGGCCTGAGTGTTTCATTTGTTTCTCTGCTAAAGAGAAGTCACCACTAATGACAGGATGAACAGCTCCACAAAGCACATACTATGCAGCCAAAGGTCCTCATTACAGTGAAAGCTGACTCCCCCATTGCAGAGCAGGGCCTGAACCAACATTACCTGTGCTGCTGCAGGTGCTGCAAGCTTTCCCCAGCCTCCTGCCTGCCTGGCCATGCGAGGAAGCACAATGTGCAGGTAAAAGGCCATTGGCAGCATGCAACAGCCATACATCTCAGAAACAACAAGCATTTATTATTGGTTCATTTAACAGAAGGACTTGGGTTGGACTTTGCCTCTTCCAGTCTCTGCCTAGATCAGTCTCACGGGGCACCTCAGCCCCTCTCTTTCCACTGCTTTGATGTGTGATTTTAAGGGTTTTCATGGGACACCCACTCTCTCTCCCCTACCCAGCCTACCTCTGGGGCTGGAAGAGCAGCTGATGCCCCGTAGCTTTAACCAGAAAGCAGGCAGGGTTGTGCAATAGGGTAACTGCACTGTGCCATCCTGCCCACAGGTTAGCTGCCTGCATCATTCCCAAGGCCATGCCCCAACCTGGCAGGAACTCTCACCTGTACGGCTGCAGTCAACTCAGCTGCCAGCAGCTGGGCTGTGTCCTGCCCTGGATTCATCCTGCCATCCGTTCAGAGAGTAGCAGTAGAACACAGAGTGGAAACTGGAAGGGACTTCAGCCATTCAATCCTCTTCGTGATGGGGTTTTCTCTGCCTTTTTCAGCTCCCATGGCCAGCTTAAACCTTAACCTATACAAGCAAAAGTGATAAAATAATAGTAACATAATAGGAATGCACCTTTTTCAATAATACGTATTAGTACACAATAATACTATTGTAACAGTACTATTGTTTAACAAGGAATACTGAAACAATACGGGGTCATAACACTTGCACAGCAGTTTCCATTAATTGCTACACGAAACATGCATGATTCCAGGAAGCATTCTGCTTGGAAATAGCAAGTTTTCCACCATTCCCCACCAGTGCTTTGTGTACATGTTCTTTTAAGCTGCTTGCAAACACAGGCTGTGATTGATGTGGCTAGGAGTGCTGTGACTTCTCCATTCACTGGCTCACCCTGATTTAGATCCGTGCAGTCTGTGATCTGCCTTCAGCTGACCAAACACCTCTTGCAGCTCATAATTCTTAACTCGGAGCAGGCAAAGCGTGTGAACTAAGGGGATCACCGCATTTTCTGCAGGAAGGTTTAGCCCTGGCACAAACAAACCACCCAAACGTCTGCAGGCCTCCATCTGGTTCAAGTTTATCCTGCAGAGCTGCCACTCACACCTTTGGTGATGCTGGGAGCTCTTGTGTCTGCCCTGCAACTTGCCTGCTCCGGGCCAGCCAGGTCTTTCACTGCATGGGCATGTTTCACTCAGCTCTGCCTTTTGCATTGGATTAATGGATTAACCCCTAATCTTTGCAGTGACCTAACTTGTAGCCTGACTGATGGCTCCACTTGTTTTCTTGCAACACAAGAGAAGGGATCACCATACCAAACAAACAGCTGCTGGAGAGAAGGAAAGAAACTCAGCAAGTAGTTTATGGGCTACTTCTGTCTTCTGTTCCACAATAGGTGTGATTTGGTGTGGCTAAACATTCGGAGAGGGTTGTTTCTCCCTCATTCCCACTACTGCGGGATCTGGTTGCTTTAACAAGTCTGTGGACCAGCTGCAGGCTCTGGAAGATTGACCTTTTGAAGAAGGCCAGAGCGTCATCAGCCATTCACTTATTAAGCCACTTCAGGTCCGTAGTGGAATACAGAAATCTCTGGCTCCAGCTGGAGGCAAGTTCACAGCAGTTGCACAGTGTATCAAGGTGCATGAAAACACATATTCCAAAGAAAAGAGAATGGGAAGAGCAGGGACCAAAGAGACTTTCACATGTAGTCTGTCCCAGCAGAAAGATGTTCCTCCTTGTCTTTCAAGTACTGAGACAGGATGCTGCTCCCCTCTCTCCATCAATGTTATCAAGTCATTGAGTCTTGTAATGTATTAACCCTCCTTGACATTGTGAAACAAGACCTCAGTTTGACTGAACTACTGCCCCAGAAGTTAAGTGCAAAGCCTGGCTGCTCTGTTAGAGGTAAAGCTGAGTCAGTGCAGTGCCTGCCTTCTCCGGCTGGGCAGGGAAGGAATCAGCTGGGCTGTGATTGCAGGGCCAAACTTCTGCTTTACTGCATGGAGTGAGTGGAGTGCCTCAACAGAGACCAGCATCCTTACAGAGGGCTGATGGCCAGCCAGTTCAGCCCTCTTTCTGTCTTCTGGTGGGTGAAGCAGTGCTTGGGCAAGGATATGTGTGATGGGATGCTGGCGCACAAAGTCATGCAGTAGGGAGCAGTGGCAGTCCAAGGCAATATATCAGTGAGCCCATCTGGCAGAGACTCATCCTGATGGGGCATCACCATGGCTAGAAGCCAGCTCTGATGAAATTCACAGAGAATGCTCAGACACTGGAGGAGGCAGGCTGCATTCCTCCATCGGTTCACAATGAGAGACCAGAGAAGTCCAGACAGCAGACGCAGGGTTGCCCACATCCGTTTTAAGAGCTTAGTCATTTCCTTGAGCACAGTGGAAAAGTTTCAACATATTTCAAGGGCTGGGACCTCAAAGGAGTACCTGTGAACTCATCCCAGATAGCGTGATGCAGTCACCCAGCGACAGGTACAGGTGGCCAAAGCTGGCAGAGTAGGCAAGAGGTGTGAGAACACAGAAAGCCATCAGAAGACGTCTGAGATTGTCCTTATAACAGGGTTTGCAGCAGAGTTTGTGGGATCTGACGTTAAGCGGCTGGGATTTCCCGAGACTATAAAACTGCAATCAAACGTCTCCTCGGGCTCAGTCTCATCTCCTAAGAGGAAGGGGTTGAGGCGTTTTTCCTCCGCGCAGCAGTGCAGGTGCTGCGGGATGCCGTCCAGGTCCCTGCGCGGCACCACAGCGACTCCTAGCGGCACAGAGAATCTTAGAATCACAAGCTTGGAAAGGACCTGCAAGATCCTCACGTCCAACCGCCCTGCCATCACCACTGCCACCACAAGCACTAAGCCACATCTCGCAGCACCTCATCCAGACGCCTCTCCAACACTGCCAGGGACGGCGACTCCTCCAGCTCCTTGTGCAGGGCATACCAGCATCTGACAGCTCTCTGAGAGAAAAAGCTTTTCCTTATGTCGAACCTAAACGTCCTCCAGGCCTGAATGTTTCATTTGTTTCTCTGCTAAAGAGAAGTCACCACTAATGACAGGATGAACAGCTCCACAAAGCACATACTATGCAGCCAAAGGTCCTCATTATAGTGAAAGCCGACTCCCCCATTGCAGAGCAGGGCCTGAACCAACATTACCTGTGCTGCTGCAGGTGCTGCAAGCTTTCCCCAGCCTTCTGCTTGCCTGGCATATACATCTATAAAATCAGTTTTGTAACTCACCTATGGTAACTATACAGCCATCACCTGCCAGCACTCCTGGTTATCTGCAGAGGCCCCAGAGGGTTGGAGGCTTGCTGATGTGATGCCATCTACAAGAAAGGCCGCAAGGAGGATCTGAGAAACTACAGGACTGTCAGCCTGACCTCGGTACCAGGGAAAGTTATGGAGCGAATTATCTTGGGTGAGATCACACGGCACGTGCATGGCATCCAGGGGACCAGGTCCAGCCAGCATGCATTCATGAAAGGCAGGCCATGCTTGATTCACCTCATCTCCTTCTATGACTGGGTGAGCAGCCTGGCAGAGAGGGAAAGGCTGTTGATGCATCTACCTAGACTTCAGCAAAGCCTTGGACACGCTCTCTCGCAGTATTCTCCTGGGGAAACTGGATGCCCGTGGCCTGCACAGGTATGCCCTTCTTTGGGTAAGGAAGTGGCTAGAGGGCCGTGCCCAACGGGGAGTGGTGAATGGAGTTAAGTCCGGCTGGCAACCCATTTCAAGTGGTGTCTCCCAGGGCTCGTGGTCGTACAACTTTTTGCACGTCGGATAGAATCACTAGGGGCATTATTATGTACTGACCTTCGAGAAACAACAACCTGCAGAATCACAGAATTGTAGGCTCTAGAGATCGAGTCCAACCCCCCTGCCAAAGCAGGTTCCCTACACCAGGTCGCACAGGCAGGCATCCAGGCAGGTCTTGAACATCTCCAGAGGAGACTCCACCACCTCCCTGGGCAGCCTGTTCCAGTGCTCCGTCACCCTCACTGTAAAGAAGTTCTTGCGCACATTCGTTCAAAACTTCCTATGCTGCAGCTTATGTCCGTTTCCCCTTGTCCTGTCTCCATGCCCTTGAGATTTTAGTGGTGCAGCTGGGATCTAATTGCTCACCTGTATGCAGGCATTAGTGAGTTACAGCTGGGTACACGTGACACACACAAAATGTAGTTTTAAGGCTGTAGTCTCATTGGAGCTACATATTTATAAAGTCACTGGTTTGCAAAGCATTAATACTGATGCAACTACAATCAGAATCCAGCCTGACATGTACAGCATTCTGCAAGGGGCATGCGTGAACCTGGACAATATTGACAATGCAGTGAACATCTGTTGGAGAAGGCTTGGGTTGAACTGAGACTGTCCTGTGGCAGGGCGTTATCTCCCAAGCCCTTCCAGCTCTATCATCAATAACTCCATGCATTTTCAGTTCCCTTCCTCCTTTGGATTTCATTCTAAATGATGCTGGTTTTTCTGAGGCTTAAAAAACAAGAAAAACAACAAGAAAGAACCCCAGTATCCAACTGGCCTGCCTCAGCAAGCAGAGGACATTTATCTAGACATTTGGGATGCAGACTGCTCTCTACAGAAGCAGCAGAAACAAAATCCAAGGCTGAGCCCAAGCAAAGACAAGGTATTAGATGAAATAAACTGCACCAGGAAGGCTTTAACTCCTCTTCCCTCACCATTTTACTACGGTCCCAGAAAGTCAAGGCTAACGTAAGTCCTGGCAGCCCTTGCACAAGGATTGTCCTGAAGAAGTTTATTTTTTTTTCTTCTCTCCCACCCATTCCCCCCCCCCTCCAAAAGAAAAAAATAAAATAAAATCCACGATGAAGGGGATGCATGAACTCTGGGCTGAGCCACTGTTTGCATTTTTAGAAATAGTGGCTCCCTCCCTTCTCTCCTTATCCTCAAAATACGCTCATTAAGAGCTCCGTTACTTTCCCATGCAGACATGCTTCCTGGCAAGGCTATTTGCAATCCTTGTTTCCTTTGCACTGTAGCAAATGCAGCTAAGAAACATCTATGATGGAGTAAGAAATGCAGTCAATCTCAGTTTCCCGTGCTGTGACCAGAAGCTCCTTTCTCTTGACTGTGCTGCCTATTTAACTTCTGCAGCACAGAATCATAGGATGGCTTGAGTCGTAAGGGACCTCGAGGATCACCAAGTTCCAACCCCCAGCATTTTCTAGAAATAAACCCTGACTGTGTTATGCTTCCTGTAGGAATTTAAGCATCTTTATTTTCCTCCAACAGATTATTTCAGGGTTTGCTACATTGTTCTCTTGTGCTGTGTGTGGCAACCACTTCCATTACTTTCAGACAGCCTCGTTTTTCTGCTGTGCCACCCACTGGAGATGAGCATAGCCCCACTGAAAGATGTACCAGCAGGAGGCACAAACCCAAAGAACTGAGCCATCTTAGAGCAGGGAGTGTTAACAGCTGACACACAACATTTTATCACACCACATCAACTTGTACTTGTGTACAGATCAGTATGATCTGCCTCCTTAAACCAGGGAACGGGTTTGGGGTTTGCAAAAATAATCCAGATGAACACAGCGGCAAGAACACAGAGAGAGAGTTAGCTTTGCAGCAAGGATGAATAGGAAATAACATCTGAGGGGGAAATGGGCAGGAGAAAGAGCTTGCACGGGGCGGGCACCCACCTTCATAAACTGCTCCATCTCTGCCACTGTGAGCTGAGTGAAATTCTGCAGAAAAGCCTCCTTCATCTGAGCAGCTGCCATTTTCTGCTGCTTTTCGGCAGTCCTCTCCAGTGCCTGGAACACAGCTGCACCCACCAGCAAGTAGACGAAGTAGCTGCCCACCAGCAAACCTGTCTGCAGCTTGCCACTGCACATGGCCCTCGGTAAGGGACAGGGAGAGATTGGTAAATCCCACAAACTCCTGAGGAGCCTCCCCTAGGCAGGAAGAGCCCTCCCAGCTGCTGTTTCCACTGGGATCTTGCGCTGACAGGGACAGCGAGATGTCAAATACACTCAAGGGGAGGCTGGGAGTTTTTTTTTTTTTTAAAAAAAAAAGAAAAAAAGAAAAAAAGAAAAACAAATGAACAAAATTAAAACAAAGACAACAACAGCAAAAACAAGCAAAAAAAAACCCAACCCTTTCCACTCTCTGGGCTGCATGCTGTTTAGGGATTTCCTCTTGTCTGCGAAACTCTGACTTGCTGAGTTCTCAGGAAAAATGAGTCAGGATGTTAGGAGCTGGCAGGTGGCCATCTCCTCCTGCTCAAGGAACACTCACCAGAGGAACAGGTGAGGACAGTCCTCAAAGGGCCCATAGTGGAGCTTTCTTGGAGAAAAACACTGTTTTCCCTTCTCTGCCTCCAACTGATGCCTAGAACTGTGTCCCAAGGCTCACAAAGACCCTTCTTGCTCTGTGTTCAGGGGCAGCATCGGGCAAATGCAGCTGGACTGCTCTCCTGCAGTTCACTAATCTGCTTGTAGGACGGAGAATGATCATGAAGACCTGCAAAGAGCAAACTAGGAGAACCAGGCAATGTGCTTAAGGTCAGGACTGCCACTGGGAAGAGCCAAGAGGAGCATAGAATCATAGAAACGTTTGAGTTGGAAGGGGCCCTAAAAAGCCATCAGGTCCCACTCTGCAAGCAGGGACACCTATAGCCTCATGAGGTGCTCAGAGCCCCGTCCAGTTTGATCTCCAGTGTCTCCATGGCATCTCCCACCTCCTTGGGCAACCTGTGCCAGTGCCTTACCACGCTTTTTGAAAAAAATTTATTCCTTATATCCAATCTAAATCTCCTCTCTTTTAGCTTGAAACCATTTCCCTCTGTCCTGTCATAACAGACCCTGCTGAAGAGTCTGATCCCTTCTTTCTTATACCCCCTTTCATGAAATTCACCAAAGATCAGTGCAAAGTCATGCCCCAAGGAAAGCAGAACCCCTAGCAAGGACTGACTAACTGTGGAGCAACTCTGAGGAAAAGGATGTGAGGATCCAGAGAGGCTCTGCAATCTCCATTTCTGTGTTTTCTATGACCCAGTTGGATACAGTCCTGAACACCTGGTCTGACCACAGAGATGATATAATTTTGAGGAAAAGGTTGGACCTGCCGAGGTCACTTCTCACCTGAATTATCCTGTGATCCTGCAATGTCAGGAAAGAATTAATTACAGAAAAGTCATACTGGTATCAGCACATAGAAGAAAATGCAGAGGCTTGGAGGCTGGTTTCATGGAGCTGATGTAAACAAGAAACGGCAGATGGCTCCACTCTGACAAGTGCAGGTTGTCCTTTCACACATAAATCTGTTTTACCTCAGAGGAAAACAGGAAAACTATGAATGAAAGTAAGTAGCTCCACAACACCTTTAAAATGAAAAGATTTTCATTAAAGTTACTGGAAAAGGGCTTGTAGAAACCGGATCCGACTTCCTTTCACTTCTTTTGAGGCTACGGAGTGTGGAAGGTGTGTTTCTTCCTCAGATCTCATCGGCTTCTGCACTGTTCTGTAAATAAGAGCACCTGCAGCTTTACCTTTTCATGTCTCTCAGACTTCCAGCTCTGTGAGATGGGAGAAACACCATTATGTATGCAAATACTGTATTTCCTCATCTACAGAGTGCAGGCATGCGGGTAACAGAGAAGAATTCTTTTCTCAGTAAGATGGAAGGAAAAACATGAATCTCACAGAAGATGCTGAGTTTTGAATTCACTTGCAGTTGTTTAACCAGGGTGGGTAAACGGAGCCATGTTCTTCTCATGCTCTCTTTATTGGTTTGGTAGTTCCTCACTCTTATTTTGGACTCTCAATATGATCACAGCTGTTTTTTAGAGACAGCTCTTTCAAAATCTATTCATCTCCTAGCATAGAGGCAATTCCTCTGCCCCTCTGCTCTGCCTATCTCATCCAAAAAGCTTTTAACCTTCAATTTTAGTGTCCCAGTTGTGTTATTTGTCCCACCATGTTTTCATGATACCAATTAGGTCACAGTTTTCTAATTGCACAGTGACTTCCAGCTCCTCTTGCTAATTTCTAAGTCAGCTTGCATTAAAGTAATGGCATTTCAGCCGGGCTATCAGCCATGTTATGTTCTCGGAGGAGCCCTCCTGAATTCCTCTGGGAAAAATCTGAGGTTTTCCCCTTCTGCTTTCTAAAGCGACAGTGTTCCCTGGCTCTTCCCTGTCACTCAGAAGTACATCCCCTTCCCTCACTGAATCTTCAGCCCAGGATGTTTTTGCTCCACTGGTCAGTTGCATCCCATCCAATGTCAACGTGCCTGGTCTCTCAAAAAGGACATCATCAATCAAGGAACCCAAAACTTTGAGTGTGACACCACCCACACACCAGTCATTCAACTGATCTGTTCTCCTCCTTCTACCTGGGTCCCAGGCGGAGGTCCCTGGGAGGACAGGGGACACTCCCCATACTCCCAATTCCTTCAACATCCTTCCAAGGAACATGAAGTCTCTTTTAATATTTGAAATTTCCTTCTTGCAGCCTCAGCTGACCCAACTTGAAGATGCAGGAGTGGATCGTATTCCTCTGGCTTTATAAGACTCAGTAGCCTCTTCTTATTGTCTGGGCGACGGACAAATGGGTACCTCTGAGCGAGGAGTCCTCAGTTACTAACATCCTTTGCCTGTTTTTGGTGGCATTGATTCTAAATTGGGTCCTTGGTTGGAGCAACTTAATGCGGTTGTCTCTTCCTGAGTCTAAATCATTTACCCGTGCCCTCACCTTTTTCCAACCCCGGGCCCTTGCATCTGTTGCTTAAGGGCACTACAGGAGGAGACAACTCGTGCTCTGAGCAGAGACGAAGGTCCAGTTTCCCCTGTCTTGTGTGTTTCTGTGGTCTGTCTTCTCAAAGTTGGAATCTAGTTTAGTTTCCTCCTCTTGCAGGAATTTAAGACAGGGCTGGCAGTCTGCCCATGTCACTGCGCAACACCGGGCATCAATCTCTACCTATCTGATTTCTGAATACTATGCATCCAGATGATTTCCTCATGCAATTCAGCCATTTGCTCAAAAAGTTCATCAAGCAAAGCACATTGCACCCACGATAGCCCTCTCTGCCTTCAGGCCTTTAGTCCTTCCTGCATGAACTACCACACCAAGACCAAACTGATATGCCACATGCTGATTGCCACGTTCCTGGTCACCCTCCATCCCTGAGGCTGCCTTTGTACACATTAGGGTGTTATGCTGCTCCATTTCAGAATGTTCCTGCACTGGAGCTGATTGCCTTTGAGAACCTCCTTTTCTCCCAGTTGTCTGGAGATGACATCCAGCACAAGCTGTTCCATCACCTTTCCAGGGACAGAGGTGAGGCTGACTGGCCTATAATTGCCTGGGTCTTCCTTCTTGCCCTTTTTGAAGACTGGAGTGACGTTGGCTATCTTCCAGTCTTCAGGCACCTCCCCTGTCCTCCAAGACCTCTCAAAGATGACAGAAAGCGGTTCAGCAATCACCTCTACCAGCTCCCTCAGCTCCCATGGATGCATCCCATCGGGTCCCATGGATTTGTGAACATTGGTGTTGCCTAAGGTGCTCCCGGACCACCTCTTCCCTGACTGAAGGGAGGTCTTCCATTCCCCAGACCCTCTCACTAACCTCCAGGGTCTTGGATTCCCAAGCGGGAGCTTTTTCACTGAAGACAGAAGCAAATAAGGCACTCATATCTCCGCCTTCTCAGCATCCCCCGGTTACCAAAACACCCCCATCACTTAGCAGGGGAGCCACATTCTCCTTAGTCTTACTTTTACTGTTAACGTACTTTAAAAAGCCTTTTTTATTATCCTTTATCCCCTTCGCCAGATTTAATTCCAGGCGGGCTTTAGCCTTCCTTGTCGCATCCCTGCAGGCCCTGACAACATTCCTGTATTCTTCCCAAGTGGTCAGACCCTTTTTCCACATTTCATGGGCCTTCTTCTTTCCTTTGAGTTTGTGCACGAGCTCCTTGCTCATCCACACAGGTCTCCTGCCACCCTTTCCCGATTTCTTCTGCATAGGGACGCACCGATCCTGAGCTTGGAAGAAGAGCCGCTTAAATGCCGACCAGCTCTCACAGGCCCCCTTACTGTCCAACACCCTAGCCCATGGGATAGCTCCAAGTAGGCCCCGGAAGAGATCAAAGTTGGCTCTCCTAAAGTCCAGGGTAGCAATCCTACTTTTTGCTTTACTTCTTCCACTCAGGATCTTGAACTCCACCATCTCGTGGCCACTACAACCCAGGCTGCCCCTGACCTTTACTTCCCTGAGAAGCCCTTCTCTATTAGTGAGAATAAGGTCCAGCAGTACCCCTCTCCTCGTCAATTCTAGGATCCTTTTACCCCTTGCAGACAGGTGAGCTCCATCTGCAGCCGTCATGCCAGGAGCCGAGTAAATTGCCCCATGGTCAAAAAAACCAAAGTTCTTGTGCCCGCACCAGCCTCTAAGCCATTTATTGATGAGGAGGGTTTTTTTGATCCTCTCAGTGTCCTTCCCCGCCACTGAAGGGATAGAAGACCACCTGCACTCCCGCACCATCCAGTACCCTCCCCAGACCCTTGAAGTCATTCTTGATAGCCCTTAGGCTTCTCTTGGCAGCATCATCACTGCCAACCTGAACTACCAATAAGGGTAGTAGTCAGATGGGCGAACAAGCCCAGGCAGCTTTCTAGAGATGTCCCTGACCCGTGCCCCAGGGAGGCAGCACACTTCCCTCCGGGTGGGGTCAGGACGACATATCGGGCCCTGAGTTCCTTTTAGAAGGGAGTCTCCTACAACTATCACCCTCCTTTCTTTACCGGAAGAGGCGGCCTTCAAGCGTGGAGCCGACTGCCTCTCCTTAGGAAATCTCGGAGGCTGTGCCACCGTCTCATTCTCAGCCTCCTCACCCTCCAATTCCAGGGTTTCAAACCTATTACTTAGAGGCACCTGAGGAACCGAGGTAGGTCGGGAAGGGCGCCGCCTGCGTCGCTGAGGTGGGACGTGCTGCCATTCCGCCCCTCCTCTCAAGTCAGCTCTCTTGGTTTGACTACGGCAAGGGAGAGAGGCCACTACAGGCTGGGGGTTGCAATCTCTGCTTGTTTCCCGCAGAGAGTTACACCACCTGTCTATCTCCCTCTCGCAGTCTCTAATGGATCTTAACCGCTCCACCTCCTCCCTAAGCTCCACCACAAGGCTGAGCAGCTCATCCACCTGCTCGCACCTCACACAGGCGGCATCCCTCCCATTGTCCCCCGGCAGCAGCAGACTCAGGCACTCCCTGCAGCCAGAGACTTGAACCGCCACAGTTTTGGGCAGTCCTGTCTGGGTTGCCACAGTCTTCTTGGAGCAAGCCCGCCGTCTGGAAGAGACCATGTTTGAACTTACAGTCTCTGACGATTACGTGCCCTGCCACAAGACCCACCTCCCACACTTACAGGTGCAGCAATGGGCAGCGGGGGCTGCGCTCACACACTGCCTGCCCTCCCCGTTAGCGGATAGCAGTGGGCAGCAACAACCTTTTTTTCACCACGTACGGAAGGTGGGCGGGACCGAGGGGCCGCTTATAGCCTCACGGAAAAAGAGTGAAGGTTAATCACAGAGATAGGAGTGAGCGGTGCCGGCTCCACCTCTGCTACCTCAGCAGCCCGCCCACCAGCTGCCAGCTGCCGCCGCCGCCAGCACCAGCACAGTGCTTTGGCTGGTTCAAAACAGCCCTAAAATGAGCTTTTAGGCGGTCTTTTTGGCTTTCTTCTTCCTTGCTTCCCTGCCCTGAAGCTGGTCTCCGCAGCAATGACCGTTACGCACTGCAGCAATGACCGTTACACACCGCAGGAGAGTGTTTAAACTCTACCGCGAATGTGCCGGCTCTACCCCTGCTGCCTCAGCAGCCCGCCTGCCAGCTGCTGCCCCCGCCAGCACCAGCGCAGTGCTTTTGCTGGTTCAAAACAGCCCTAAAAAGAGCTTTTAGGCGGTCTTTTTGGTTTTCTTCTTCCTTGCTTCCCTGCCCTGGTCTCCGCATCAAATTCTATTCTGTGATAAAAAGATTCTATGATAAGAAGCTGGGAGGAGGGGTCTGTGGGAATACAACAAAAACTGTTCAGTGCAGAAGCTGTGGAGCAAGATAAACAGCATGAGAACCAAGGGCACCTCTGGAAGAAGAAAGAACGTCTCACGGCTCTGACTGGATAAGCGCCTGTGTGAACGGTTGAAGAGTGTTTTGTAGAACCAACGCTCTTGAATGTAAAGGTGGATGGGAAAGCTAGAAAAAGAAAACTTGTGAAGGTATACAAGTGATGTGAGAACTTGTAATAAACGATTTGAATCATTTACATCTGAGTCCGCGCATCAGACGCTGCAAACGGCGCCCACCGTGTGGGGCAAATCGAGCCGAGGCTGAGCCAGCCCGGCCCGGCAGCACCGCCCGACCCAACTGCGGAGACTTTGGCGGGAACTGCGGGCAGCTGGCTAACGAAGGAGCAGCAAGTAAATCTTGCAGCATTACGGTTAGTTTTAACGTTTCAGAAGCAGTCTGTATCTACCGCAGCGTTAGTTACTTTTCTCAAATGGATAAGCAAAAATGTCCCTGAATTCCCGAAAACTGGATTCTCTTCTGATGGAGAGCTTTGGGACGAACTTGGCGCAAAACTCCGGAAAGCTTCTATTACTAAAGACAGAACGGCCGCTAAACTTTTACCTGTTTGGCACCAAACCACGGAAGGGCTTAAACAAATTCGACAAGGAAGAATTTCTTCCGACTGTTCCCCACCGCCCTCCCTCCCACCCCCGCCGCTGCCCCTCGGTGCAGAAAGCAACCCCGCTCCGGATTCGAGCCGCGGTTCCGACCCCCCGCCGACCGCGGAGAAGAGAAATCGCACCCTCCCCCCCCCTCGCTGCTGCCCTCGGCTCCACCCCCGACGCTCGCCGTGGCGCTGCCTTCCGCCGCCCCGCCGTCGTCGCGCGTTGGCGCTTCTTTGCTGGGTTGAAGACGATAACGGAGCTGCATATACTTCTAAGGACACACGAACTTTCCTCCAGGAATGGGGGGGTTAGGCGTATTACAGGCATTCCTCGTTCTCCCACTGGACAAGCTATCATTGAGTGTACTCATCTAGCATTGAAATCTTTTCTTAATGAACAAAAAAGGAATACGGGAGATACACCACAAGAAAGATTACATAAGGCTTTGCTTGTGCTGAATTTTTTTGAATCGTGATTACACAGATACAACTCGTGGGGATCATCATTTTGGGGCCTCCCCAATGCTCGAGGAATGGCCAATGGTCAACGTTCGGAATATGGCCACAGGGCATTGAGAAGGTACCTTACCACTGATAACTTGGGGTTGTGGATATGCTTGTGTTTCCAGGGGCACTGGCCCTACCTGGGTTACAGCACGATACCTTCGGTCTCATCTCAAGGCAGAAAATAGCATCCAGTCTTTATAATGTCTGGGATTGTGTGCTTCTTAGTTATTGTAACTTGTAACTTGTATCGCAAATAGTAACAGTCGTAGTGGCATGATATAGTGGGTGATTTTCCTGTGTTATCAATGCAGTCTCAAGAATTAGAGAGATATTATTAGGCGATATCTAGGTTGTTGTATGCTTCTTTTATTTTAGTAGTAGACTGAATGTGAATTAAACAAAATTTAATGTTACTGATGCTGGAATCTATGGGAATAGCTCTCTTAATGTGTTAGTAACGCTCAGTTATGATGCCATCAGCCTATCAATTAGCCTTTTCTTGATTTGCAAAGACAAAACCTGGAAAGGAATCCCAGGCAAAGGGATTCCTATATTATAGAATGATTAACTGTCATCGCACTAATCAGGATTTTTAAAATAAACCATGCAGCACCTGAGACAAAGGCGCACGCTAGGAGAGATAACCTTGATAGTTTATTCTGTTTTGCAAGCAGAGGTTCCACTTGGGCTCTGTATCATGCACTGCCCATGTGGATGCAGTGCACAAATACCCTTCGGACCCTGAGAAGAATAAAAACAAGAGGGAATCTGTGATGGGTGAGAGAGGAAAAGTGCACCTTGAAGCAGGGGACGCCCTGCTGGCACTGCCTATCACGTTCACCACCATCATGTTCTTTCTGTCTCTTTTTCACTCCAGTCTTCAAAAAGGGCAAGAAGGAAGATCCGGGTAATTATAGGCCAGTCAGCCTCACCTCTGTCCCTGGAAAGGTGATGGAACAGCTTGTACTGGATGTCATCTCCAGACAACTGGGAGAAAAGGAGGTTCTCAGGAGTAGTCAGCACGGGTTCACCAGGGGGAGGTCGTGCTTGACCAACCTGGTGGCCTTCTATGTTGTTGTCTCTGGCTGGGTGGATGGGGGGAGAGCAGTG